TCGGAGGAGGTAACCTACGGTTGCTAACGAGGCTTCCCACGGTCTAAATGAAATTATGAAACTCATTAAGTTGAGTTTAGTAAATTCATTTGGACTAAGTGAATCCAATAGAAAATAGTGGTGCCGGAACGAGGGAACCGTAGAATCCTAACTGATGTTGCTCTAATCAACTTTAACATCCCCCATAACATTTAAAGAACTTTAACAATAGTGCCGCTTGTTTTGACATCATAACTTGACACCTTAGAAAGCTTAAACTCGGCACAGCAAGGAGCTTGAAGCTAGCACAGTGGGCAGTACGGTCATCTTCAATAGCAGAACATGTCTGCACTAGGTAAACCATTCCTTTCTTAAAATTAAATAACAAGTCATAGGATTTCGAGGTTGTCTGCCTAGTGCAATATCGATCCTCAACTCATCTTTAGGCTTTTGTACAACTCTATTGTACAATATAAGCCCTAACTCGTCTTAGGATTTCGAGGTTGTCATCATTCACGACCTACATCCTCACATCTTCCAGGCTATTTGTGTGATTGCCTTACACGAATGTAAGCCCCAACAAATAAAATTGACAGGATGAAATACTTAAATTTTTCTCCTCAAAACTGAAGCCAAACAATAGGATAGATTGAGAAGGCGACGAGATTCTCCTTTCGGATCTATGTCATCCCCTAGTTCTTCCTCCTTTGGATTCCAAAAACAAAATGCTCCAAATTTGAACTATTTCCCTTTCACACCTCTTTGTCCGATTTCATTGAAAATCCTTTCCTTTGAATTCCTTGAAGATAATATTTTCTTGATTTTTATCGAGAGCTTTCTTAGATGACCTCGGTCATTTAAGATGTAATTAACTATAGGGGTTTGCCCTTATAGGAATCTTTAGAACCTAGTTTAATATAATCCCAATCTAATCTTTCATATTATATAAGGGAACTTGTCGATCGACATAAAGGTTCGCAGACTACGATGGATGTCATAAATTCTTTAGTTTGTTTAATCAAGCCTCACAGATAAGTGATATGTCTATTCTTCGGGATATGTATATCACTTGACGCTCTTTCATTTAAACTGTAAAAATATGAGGTCAGATTGATTTTATAATTTTCTAAACTTAAATGTCCGTCCAAAGCGGGCGACGAGATTTCGATTCTGGTGACCGATAACTTCTTACGGTCAACTCCGACCAAAATGGTGCCGACAATGTGTTACTTCTATGTGGCACGCTCTTCTTTCTGTTGAAGGCATGACTACACACTCACCGTACTTTTTAGGATGTTGAATCCCAATGTCCTTCAGGTTATGCACAAGGGATAAAGCGTTGATCAGATGAGAGGAATGAGAGGAAGTAGAAGAAAGAATAATTCACAGGCAATGTTAATTCTCTAAGAATAGATTCAGTAGTTTTTTCTATGAAAATAATCCCCATATTTATAGGTCATAGAGGTGTCTAGTAAATTACATGATTATCCCTCACTTGATGTGAATTCACATTACAATGAATTTAGGAGTCATTTCACATTTACACATTTGTAATCAACTTTTTCGTCTTTTTACTATGGTAACTATTGTTGCGTCATTCCACATTTTTAACTGTCACTGACAACGTTTCATATTCATAACTGCCCGACTTAGTCGTATGATCTTGGTTTGGACGACCAAATGTCATTTGGTTGAATGACAAACTTTTGGTTGGCTTTTTCGAGGGAATATATTGTGAAGACTCGTTATCCTCAGAAAAAAAGGTTATTCCATTTTGCTAAGGGTGCACCGTAGTCTGATAGGCAACTTTCATTTGATTGAAAAATCTTCTTAGAAGTTTAAGTGTGAGTTCCACTTTGTTGATCTTGTGAAAGCCTTTAGATCAGTTAAGTTTTGTTCGATCTAGGTGTGTGGCATTCATTGGTTCAGATGAATTTTCATTCGGTCGGCCCATGATTTAACCGACCGAAATGATGCTAGATAACTCGATTTGTTACTACTTTCTTAGTACGATCCGAGATCAGTGCAGTCACATTTCCAATGTAAACATTCTTATCACATAAAAAATATCATCAATTTAAAAAGTAAAATGCACTTTATTATGCATAGATTAGGTGACACATATTAAAAAGATGAAGTATAGGTGTTTGATATATAAATACATAAAAAATGACTGCTGTGTGCATAAATCTTCATTTTTGAGTTTATTTTATTTTATTTTTATTTTTATTTTAATGTGCAGCGTCCATCCGCAAGTGAATTAGACAGTGGTAATATTTAACTTTTGTCCTGATGGTATTTTGTGCTGTCGTAGTCGAGAGAGAGAGAGAGAGAGAGAGAGAGAGAGAGAGAGAGAGAGAGAGAGAGAGAGAGGCAGAGACAGAGATGGCCAGAGATCGGAGGATCGGAGTGGCGCTAGACTTCTCCAGTAGCAGCAAGCTTGCACTTCGATGGGCGATCGATAACCTCGTCGAGCAGGGTGATAACCTTGTCGTCATCCATGTCAAAGGCGCCACCGCCGATGAATCCAAAAACGCTCTCTGGGCTCAATCCGGAACTCGTAAACATTTAACATAATTTTTTCAATCACGTTTCATTCTTTTTTTGCGTGTGACAGAATCCTGTCTCGTTAATGTTGATTCCAGCTTTGATCCCGTTAACCGAGCTGCGGCAGCCGGAGGTGGCGAGGCAATACGATCTCCAGTGTGACGCAGACGTTTTGGATTTGCTCGATACTACTTCTAGGCAGAAGCAGGTATGTCAAAGGCGTCTTATTTTTGCTAATATTGCTGTATATTTTTTACTAAATTGGAACTGAGGACTCTGCGAACCAGGTTACTGTTTTTATGAAGATATATTGGGGAGATCCGAGGGAGAGGCTTTGCGAGGCTGTGGAGGACCAGAGGTTGGATTCACTTGTCATGGGTAGCAGGGGTCTCGGTCCTTTGAAAAGGTTTGTAATGGTAGTAGAAATTCTGATTTTTGGTCGCATATGCTGGGTGCAATTTGCAAGAGGAGTATTAAGTAGGTTAACCCATAATTAAGTAAAATTTTCTTAACGTTTCCAATTACTGAAACATTCATGTCATTTGACTAACTTAATAACAATTATAATATCAATTTTTATCAAGATTCTAATAAAAGTTGCTAGAGTATTAATAAGATGCGTAGAGGGAAAACAAGCTTCTGATAACAATTGTAATAAGCTTGACTAACTTAGAAGTTTCATTGCACTCGGGAAAGGAATTGTATGATGTATTGAAGTTCATGTTTGTCACATGATTATCGGAAGTTCATCATTGGGTGGGTTCTAATTTGCAGTGAGCCCCGCCTTTTTATGTTGTCCTGGTCTCATAAATAAAAAATCTGCACAAAAAATCATTTGGGCTCCGCTTTTACGGATGAATAGATTGAGTTTGGGGGTGTCATTCAGTTTTGATTGAGAAGAGTTTTTGTTAGTTGACCTCATCAAGGGCTTATTTTGTCTGAGTTTTTCTTTTGTTTTTTTTGTTATGAGAAGTATAGTACATCTACAAAAGGTTTATTTCCACTCATTTTGTTTGACATGTGCGTGAAGGGCTCTTAAGAAACAGAGTAATGATTTGAGTGACCCTAGTTTTTTTTTTTTTTTTTTTTTTTTGTGTAAACAAAAACTTGTGGCTTCAATTACAAATATGTGTTCATTTTGTACTGGGATTTAGTGTTTGCTCCTACGTAATTCAATGGGATTAGTTCTAAAATTGCAATAACATCTTTTTTTAATATTATATTCCAACCTAACATGAATGCCTTGTACGAATTTATATGCTTTATATATCTCTCCAATGTCAACATGACTAGATATGTGATTAAGCCTAGTAATGCTTTATTGTTCACTTTGTTGAACAATGTTATTTTTATTCATGTTAATTTAGTACATAAACAACATCAAGCTTGCGCGTAAATAACATTAAAATAATTTTTTGTTTAGTGATTGATTCAAGATTTTTCTATCAAAAAGAACTTGAGAGAAGTAAATAATGAATTCATGCAGTCTATTCTAGACCAAGTTGTGGCATCTTTCATGGGATTCATGTTGACTCCCCTATAATGGATATAAAATTTTAAAATGAGTGATTAGAATGAAAACAATAATTTTAGAACACATTGTGTGAGGATGGATCAATCCAATTGTTGTATTTTTGCCACATATGATTGGTGCATATCTTAAGAGGAAGAATCAACTGACCTGGCTGGTTCCTATTTCGATGTTCACGATCAAGCTAAGTAAGCTATGCGAGCTTCTTGAGGTGATGAGGGGGTGTGGGGGCGAGTATTCAGTTATTGAAAACTAATTCATTTTTCAAACTCACCTCTATCACGTGTGTGAAAGTAGAGTGTTATCTTATTCATTGTTTGCAAATGCATCAACAGAGGTACTTAAGTGTTCCTTCTATGCATTTAAAAAAAAAACTTCACGAGGCGATAAATGTAGGGCACACTTTGCCCTTGATGTTGCATGCACCCTATGTGGAAGAACGTCAAAAGGAACTTTTCTATCGAAGTCTTAAGGTAAAATTTATCTTCATGAGTGCCATTTTGGAACCAAGGAGTCAAAATAGTTTTACTTAAGAAGTTAGATTGGAAAACATGGGTCACTTATCATCTTGCATCCAAAATCCTAGTATGAGTTAATTTGGAAGAGTAATGTTTATCAAGTAGTTAGGTAATGTACTCTAAAATTTACTTTTTCTAAAGATTTTATTGATGAGGTTTTATCTTTGGTTGTCCATCATATAATACTTGGTAAATCATGTTTGTGGGAACAACATGCTTTCTTTCTTGAAATGTAATAAAATTTTGTTCTTTTGAAGGGAGTGAAAAAATTCTTGATATCTTTGATTTACTAATCTACTTGTAGAGGAGATTGATGTAGATAAGAGAGATTGAAGAACCCCATCAATGGTTTAAATGCATCCTTCTTGATGAAAGCATCATAAGTCCATACCAATTATTGACTTACCTATAGTGAAGGAGATTGTTCCAATCTTAACACAAGTAGAAGCCCCCTGATTCACAAGGCTAAAAAAATTATCAAAGTAGTTCTTAAAGGCAAGGGTTGACTTGGTCTAAATGTTACATTAGATATGTTAAATGAAATCTAAGGAATTTGAATGAAAAGATGATAATAATTGTACCCAACGATCAAAAAAATTATAAATATGGTCTGCTTACAAGATATTGAATGGAATGAAAAAAATGTCTAAGGATGTTAAGGAAGGTTTTTGGAATGACGTTAGGATAATATCAGATAGAGATTTGAAAGATAAATTTTTTTTAATAACTGATTAAAAACAATAAAAAATAAAATAAAATAAAAAGAAATAAAAAGAAATAAAAGAAAATGGATTTTTATTTGATCCGTGATGATTTTAACCAATCGTCGGCTCGATTGGGTTCTTCTTAGGTATCAAATATTTTTTTCAAACTGGAGGGGGGAATGAAGAGCGTGCGAGAGATAGAAATAGAGAAGAGTGGGAAGAAAGAGAGTCAGAGAGATCGAGGGTGGGGGAAGGAAGAAGGAAAAGTTACGTGGTTCTCTTAGTGGATATTCAACTATCTTTTTAGAAGTTAACAACCAGGGTTCTGGCTTGAAAGAGGAAGAAGAGGTGCTAGAGGCTGCTGAAACCTGACCATAGTTTTGATTATCATTAGTCTTGTTTGTGTGAAGAGGAAAGAAGAAGAAGGGGGTTTGATCCGAGTTTGTGTGGGTTTGAGTAGAAGAAGTGGAAGGAGGGGGAGATTTTATTCGAGGCGAAAGAAGAGGAGAGCATCGAGCAGAAGAAGAGAGAAGGAAGCCTTAGTGGTGCTAGGTCGATGGCACTTGTCTCTAGTTGAGCGAAGGAAAGGGGAAGAGAAAGGAGAAGGTGAGGCTTTCTTGCATTATGTCCTGCATGAAGCAGAAGCCGAGACAAACCGAGCGACTCGTGTATGTTGGAGGTGCGGCCGAATGTTTTATTAAGACAAGAGTAGGGCTTATTTATCATTTAATTAATGAATTTAATATGTCTATATATATGTATTAAAATATTAACAGTGTCTTTAATTAAATTAGGATTTAAGCTATACAAGTTTCAAATTAGAAAGAGAAGCCTTGCTTGCAAGGAAGCAAATCAAGTCATAGAACGAATGTTAAAGTAACACTTTTTGGACTAAATTTTATGCTTTAATTATATAAATTATTTTTTAATTAAAATTTTATAAAGGTATATTAAACTTTATAAATTAATTTATGTAATATCAGTAATTTAGTTTGGACAAGAAATTGAATTAAAGAACCAATAAGATCTAGATCGGTTCGTGTAAAAGAAGAAGTAATAAGGAGGTAAGATTACTGTTTATTTTTGTAATCATTTATAATCAATTTAATTTTTAAATTTATACATATTTATATTAGAATATTATGAAATATAACCATGTGATAAAAGTAAAAGTATGACAAAAAAAGTTAAGGGATTTGAAAGGGATCATTTCTTAAAGTGAAATCAAAGGAGTACTCGTAATTTTAATTTATGATAGTATTTTATTTTTTCTCAACTATTTTGCATTAGTCGATAATGATACTTGTATAGTCTTTATTTTGATTGATATACTATTTTGTTTATTGGTCACGTTATCATGAATGTCATATATTTATAGCTACTTAATGACATGTATTAGTTACCATATATATGAATAAATAAATAAATAAATAAATAAATATATATATATATATATATATATGTAGAGTGTGTGTGTGTGTTGGGGGGGTGCGCATGCGTGCGTGTATACAGACACACACACACACACACACACACATAGATATACA